AAAAAAAAAAAAAAAAATGTTTAAACTTTACAAATGTAGAATCTCAGGCCCCAGGTTCAGATCTACTGAGTCAGAATCTGCATTTTAACAAGATCTGCAGATTACAGGGATGCACATGAATATGTGAAGTGCTAGTGTAGCCGTCAGTGATGGTAGGGGGATGGGGGAATTTGAATTAACGGTTAAATTATGTTTTGGGTATTTCCAGTGGAACCAGGGTGGCAAATGACAAAGTGAGAAGAAAGAAGGTGCCTTCCAGGCCAGGCATAGTGCCTCATGCCTGTAATCCTAGCACTTTGGGAGGCTAAGGAGGGAGGATTGCTTGAGCCCAGGAGTTCCAGACCAGCCTGAGCAACAAAGCAAGACCCTGTCTCTACAAAAATAAAAATAAAAAAGAAGGAGGTGCCCTCTACACCTACTACACAGAAGCTTCTACTATATAGAAGCTCCCCAGCCCCCTTTATGCCCAGCAGCCTTACCGATGCTTTTCATGAGGCTACTGTAATAGTCATTCTCCTTCTCCTGCACGAGGACCACCATCAGGGGCTCCAGGAAGGGACTTGTCAGCAGCGTGTTAGAAATCAGGTTTGAAATCCGAACCATCACTTCACCCTCCTCAGGGGCAATCATGTCTTTGCGAATTCCATTGGTCAGATAGTAATTATATCTCTTCCATAAACAAACCACCAGCAAGAAAATGGTCATGATTGGATCATGGACTCACCTGTTCTGCCCATCAGCTCCCAAGGGACCCCATTCACACAGCATTCATCTGCCCCCTTCACTTGCCATCACCATGCATTCTGGGCCTGTCGCTTCACACTCATGGCAAGGAGATCACTGGCAAATTTTTCCCAAGACTTCAGAGGATTCAACCAAAACCAGAGCGATGTCAATGGGGTATGAGGAAGGATTTGTCAAATACCACCCAGATAGGAATAGTGGAGTGAGTACAGAGTCCAGGGATGGAGGTGGCATATCTGGTGACCTTTAAGAAGAGGAATGACAGGCCAGGTGCGGTGGCTCACACCTATAATCCCAGCATTTTGGGAGGCAAAGGTGGGCAGATTACCAGGTCAAGAGTTCAAGACCAGCCTGGTCAATATGGTGAAACCCTGTCTCTACTAAAAACTACAAAAATTAGCTGGGCATGGTGGCCCACGCCTGTAGTCCCAGCTACTTGGGAGGCTGAGGCAGGAAAATTGCTGGAACCCAGAAGGCAGAGGTTGCAGTGAGCCGAGATTGTGCCACTGCACTCTAGCCTGGGCAACAGAGCAAGACTCCATCTCAAAAAAAAAGAAGAGGAATGACAAGTTCCTAAAATGGCCTCAAATCGTTCACCCTCCTGAACAGCAATGATCCACTATAAAACACTTTGATCCTGTAGCTTGTAGCTGTCAGTGGGGAAAAATATCCCCAAAGTCCAAGATCTACAATAGTTCTTTTTGTTTGTTTGTGTTTTGAGACAGAATTTCACTTTTGTCACCCAGGCTGAAGTGCAGTAGCTGGAATTACAGGTGTGCACCACCATACCCAGCTAATTTTTGTATTTTTAGTGGAGACGGGGTTTCACCATGTTGGCCAGGCTGGTCTCGAACTCCTGACCTCAGGTGATCCACCCACCTCAGCCTCCAAAAGTGCTGGAATTATATGTATGAGCCACCGCACCCAGCTGATAGTTCTTATTCAAGCAAGGGCTTTTGAGTTTCAAAAGCAACCTAAACACACAAATGAAACAAAAATGGCCAGTGGAACCTAGTGACTTCAGGAAATTTTGTATATTTAGGGTTTGCCTCTGAGCTGCTGCATGGCTGAGTGGCTCTGGGAATGACTAATTTCAGACAGAGGAGAAGCACAGAGCGTCAGGAAAGGGCTTGAAGTCTGTTTTTAGGTTTCAGATCAGAAGAGGTTGCTGGCAGGGCACGGGGGTTCCCGCCTATAATCCCAGCACTTTGGGAGGCCGAGGTGGGTGGATCACCTGACGTCAAGAGTTCAAGACCAGCCTGACCAACATGGTGAAACCCTATCTCTACTAAAAATACAAAAATTAGCCAGGTGGGGTGGTACACACCTGTAATCCCAGCTACTCGGGAGGCTGAGGCAGGAGAATCACTTGAACCCAGGAGCCAGAGGTTGTAGTGAGCCGAGATTGCGCCACTGCACTCCAGCCTGGGCAACAGAGCAAGACTCCCTCTCAAAAAAAAAAAAAAAAAAAAAAAAAAACTACAGAGACTTTAGTATCAGCCAGACATGCTTTAAGTCCTAGTCTTGTCTCCTGCACTGTAGCCCTTGGCACATTGCTTAAACAGTCTATACTCCACTTTCCACAACCGGACAATAGAGATAACCATAGAACCCAGGTCTCAAGTAGGGTCAAGTAGCTAGAGGGTTTAACATGGAATTTTGCCAACAGCACATAGTCACTGTGAGTTTTTATTAATCATTTTATTATACACCCTAAACTCACAACACATTTGCTCTAAAGTTTTGTTGTTCTTTTAAGACTGGTTGGAAACTCCAACATCTATCTAGAGCCAGGCAGGTAATGTTAATAAGTGAAAGTTGTCTAGATCTAAGAAAATAATAAGAAATGGTGGGAACTGTGATGAACTGAAGAGTGTATTTCTTATCTAAAGATAAGAAATGATCAGGTAGCTACTGCTTAGCACCAAATATTTTAGTTTTCTCAAGAGAAGTTGGAAAATGTAGCCTACGTGAGACTTTCCTCATTCTTTTTTTTTTTTTTTCCCAGATAGGGTCTTGCCCTGTTGCCCAGGCTGGAGTATGGTGGCATGATCATAGCTGGGATGCCTGAGGTGTCAGAGAAGGGGATCAAGGGATAGGCTGTCTTGTCCCAGAAAGGGCTGCCCAGACTGGAGTGTAGTGGCACAATCATAGCTGACTACAGCCTCAGCATCCCAGGCACAAGTCATCCTCCCACCTTAGCCTCCCAAGTAGCTGGGACCACAGATGCATGGCACCATGCCCAGCTAATTTTTGTAGAGATTGGGTTTCTCCCTGTTGCCCAGGCTGGTCTTGAGATCCTGGGCTCAAGTGATCCTTGCCACTCCTCCTTCTAAAGTGCTAAGATTACAGGCATGAGCCACCACGCCCAGCCACCTCATTTTTTTTTTTTT